TTCGGCCACCCCCTGGACAGACCCCCCTTTAGTAAAACGTGGTGTAGTGAAAACGGCCTGAGGCCCAAACCTGGCGGGCGCAAGCCTGGAAAATAACGGCCACGGCGCCCTCTCGAGAACCGAAAACGGACAATTCACTAATCGACGTGCCACTGTTGGGGGTTCTGTCCACCCCCGACCCCTGTACCACCCACCCGACCTCCCCCCCCCACCGAGGCCTCCCGCGATCCGGCGCCGGCGCCGAACGGCACGACGCCGTCCGCGCTCTCGGGGCTGCCCGCCGCCCGGGCTCGCGGCGCTGGCGCCTGGCGCGCGCGAGCGCTGCGCGCGGTCTCCGGAGAGGAGGAGGAGGAGGAGGAGGAGGAGGAGGAGGAGGAGGAGGAAGAGAAGGAGGAGGAGGAGGAGGAGGAGGAGCCAGGCGAACATTCTTGGTCCCTCGCCAGTTCTTCGCTTGGCTTCTTTGCGCCCTCAGCTCGCCCTGCTGTCCAAGTTTTTCCCGGATAGCTCCTTGTGAGAGCTAAAAAGGTTGTTAGAGAAGAAGCCGACCGGCAAGGCTACGCCAGCTCCTCTCCAAGGCTCCCAGTCAGGCATCCCCGCAGCGCCCTGCTTGAGGCTGCAGCGTGTCCCGGGAAGCGTTTTCCTACTCGTACCCCATACGCCAGCTCCGAAGATCTCTAGAAGGTCCTTCGACACTAATTCGAAGCTCCTTGGAAGCTCGTTTCTGCAGCTGGCAAGCTCCCCAGGCCTGCTTTCCAGCCCCCATGGCAGGCGTCTCCCACAAACGCTTTTCCAAGCTTGCCAGCTCCCCGGGGCCCTGCTATCCGGGCTTTAGGAGGAGGTCCTCGGCACGCGGGGCCCTGCGGAGGCTGGCGGAGGCCTTCGTGGGCCCCCGCAGGGCCGTCGCAGGCCCCCGGAGGCCTCTGCGGGCGCACGCGCGGCCAGGGAGCCCTGGAGAGGAAATGACTGCCCGCAGTGGAGGCCAAGGGGGGGCCAAGGGGGGGCCAGGCCAAGGGGCGGCCAGGCCAAGAGGGGGCCAGGCCAGGGGGCGACCAGGCCAAGGGGCGACCAGGCCAAGGTGGGGCCAGCGCGCGAGTCCAGGCCCGCGCCGCTGCTCCAGGCTGGCGCCGCGAGGGGGTGAAAGGCGAGGCCCGGGGCCAATGGGGCAAGCAGCTCTCGCCTACTGTTAAGGGGTCAGGAACTTTGGGACAGCGTGCCGCGGCGGCGGCCCCAGCGACACGCTCTGCCCAGCAAGCAGGTCGCGTGTCGCTCCGCTCTGCGGGGAGGGAGGCCCAGAAAAATTCGAGCGTGGACGCCCGGGGAATGGGACGTGGATCGCGTGTCGCTCCGAAGCGTGGTGGGCCAGAGCCGGCGGAGCGATACAGCGGAGGCCAGTCTACAATAAACCTTCCACAAAAAAACCCAACCCTGGGACCCCAGGACGTCCATTGGTTTTTCGGGTCGGGAACTTCACGCTTTCCACAACAAAACCATCGAAACCCAAGACACCCAGGGGTCCCTGAAGGCAAGTAGGGTGTTTCTTGGCATGGGTCCCCCACTGTACCAGGACGGCTCGACCTTCAGCGGTGTTCTCCGCTTTCGTTTTGCTTTCGCTTTCCCTTGTTTTGTCTTCGCCCCGCCTTTGCGTCAAAACGAGATCGAAAGGAAAACGGCCCACGGAATCACCAAAACACCTCTCAGGTTGAGCCCTGCTGCCTACCAAACCATTCCAACCCAACCCGGAGACCCAAATTTGAGGTTGGGGTAGGTACGGGTTCCACATGTTTTTTCCAACGTTCCCCGACGCCCCCCCCCAGCTGGGAATGGAGGGCAAAATGGTGCTTTCGGGGTGGGTTGGGGTGGTTCGGTGGGTGCTGAGGACAGGGGACGAGCCCGAGGAACTCCAAAGCGTCCAAAATGGAGGTTTGGCATCTAGTTCTTGTCCCCTATGCTGGGAAACTCTTCGTCCATGGCGAACGTTTTTTTATATTCGGCGTTTCGACATTGGGCGGAAGGAGGGGGAGGGGGGGGGGGACTGGCTCCTGACCTCTGCTTAGTGCGACTGTTTGCAGGAGGGCGTCCATCATGGGGGAGGCTCCACCCGCTCGAAACAGGCGCCAAAAACAGCCAAGATCTACTCCATGGAGGGGGGGAAGGGGGGTGATCGGCAAAACAATGAGTAAGGCAACGGTCACATGTTCGAGGTTCGCTTGTTTGGGGGTCTCCGGGTCGGTTCCCCGTCTGGCCGACTCAGCGCACCCAGGGTGCGCAAAACGTCGGTCCCCGTTGTGGGGTCAGCCTGTGCTTCCTGGGGCCGGCCCCCGTGGACCTTCCGCCGTCTTCCGCCGAGGGCGAGATGTCGGCCTGCCGTTCTCGTCGACGAGGCCGTCTTCGGAGCGCCCCGCGGCAATCCCTTCCAGCGAGGCCGTCCTGTTCGGGGTGCAGCTGGGCCTGCTGGCCGCTTTCTGGTGGACGGCGGCTTTCAATGGTATGTCGCGCGATGGTATTACACGTGTATCTGTATACGATGACGCGCATGTGCGTAACATCTCTATAGATGTAAATTGTACATAGGCTCGGGGGTCAAAGGTGGCCCACTGCAAAAAGACAGCATTCGAAACCATGATGATGTCTTGTTTTTCTCAGACGGCCTCACATCTTTCATCAGACATCCGCACATCGAGCCCGCACATCGTCGCTATGAGGATGGAGGGGAGTGGGTGGGTCAGGATGATGACAATGAGGAGGGGGAGGAGGAGGAAGAGATACTCCTCAACATCAACATCATATTTCTCCTTATCCCCATCATCTTCCTTCTCTTCCTCCTCCTCTTCCTCCTCCTCCTCCCCCTCCTTCTCATCCTCCTCCTCCTCCTCCTCCTCTTCCTCCTCCTCCTCCCAGCACTTGTCCGCAAGTCACGTTCCCTTCCTCCTTCCGTAGGGGCGATGGGAGGAGGCAGAGAAGGTGCAGGGCCTTGGGGCTTTCTTTGGTTATCTGGGGGCCTTCTTGGAGGGCTTTGGGGCGGTCTTGGGGCGACTTGGAAGGCCCCTCGGGCCGCAGTAGGCAGACAGGAGGCCGAAATTGCCTTGGCGAAGGACCCAACCGTATGCAATTGTGACTGCCGCAATTGTGAATGTCCTCTTCGGTGGCGATCCCTATGGGGCCACGAACCGTGCGAGGGGTGTGCCGACATGTGTGGCGGGGTACACAACACGAGCGGAAACGATAGGCCTGAGCTCGGGGGACTGAGCGTGGGTGAGACTGAGCGCGAGCGCGTCTGATTGTGATTGAGCCTGCGTGCGAGCAAGTCTATGCGCATGAATGTGAGCATGGATACGCTTAGTGTAGCTGTATATGACTGTGAATACTGGGCGTGGCGGGGGCCTAACGGACCACGAAGCGTGTGAGGGGCGTACTGGGTGTGGCGGACGCATGCGGGCACCCCCACTGGGGCCGCAGGTGGAACCCGCTAACGGGCCACGAAACGGTGTACTGGGTGTGGCGGACGCATGTGGCCACCCCCATTGGGGCCTTGGGTGGAGATCCCTATGGGGCCACGAAACGGTGTACTGGGTGCGGCGGACGCATGTGGCCACCCCTACTGGGCTTTCGGTGGAACTCCCCATGGGGCCACGAAACGCTGTACTGGGTGTGGCGGACGCGTGTGGCCCCCCCCGCTGGGGCCTCAGGTGGAACTCCCTAGGAAGCCACGACACGTGCGAAGGGTGTGCCGACGTGGGTGTGGCGGACGCACGTGGCCACTGGGGCCTTGGGAGGAGCTCCTTATGGGGCCACGAAACGCTGTACTGGGTGTGGCGGACGCATGTGGCCACCCCCACTGGGACTTTCAGTGGAGCTCCCTTTGGGGCCACGAAGTGCTGTACTGGGTGTGGCGGACGCATGTGGCCACCCCAGCTGGGGTCTTGGGTGGAACTCCCTATGGGGCCACGAAGCGTTGTAGTGGGTGTGGCGGACGCATGTGGCCACCCGCTGTACTGGGTGTGGCGGACGCATGTGGCCACCCCCACTGGGGCCTTGGGTGGAGCTCCTTATGGGGCCACGAAACGCTGTACTGGGTGTGGAGGACGCAGGTGGCCACCCCCACTGGGGCCTCAGGTGGAGCTCCCCATGGGGACACGAAGCGCTGTACTCGGTGTGGCGGACGCATGAGGCCACCCCCACAGGGGCCTTAGGTGGAGCTTCGTATGGGGCCACGAAACGCTGTACTTGGTCGGTGAAGCGCAGGGAGGAGGGAGGAGGGGGGAGGGGGAGGAGGGAGGAGGGAGGAGGAAGGAGACGCGGGGCGATGTCTCTTCAAAACGAAGACCCAACACCACAGGATGGTTGGGAAAAACGAGAACACTTCAAACCGCCAAGAACCGAAAGGAAACCTACAAGTTCGGCCTCTTGGGCCTCCCTTGGGGGAGCTCTTTGGGCCCCCCTGGGCTATTTTGGAGCGTTCGCGAACAGTCTTGGGGCTCTCGCAAGCCTCTGTGAAGCCGTCTTGGGCTAAATTTGGGGCCTCTTGTGAAACCCTTAGGACACCCGGTGGATCCGGTAAGCTCGACGGGACCCCCGGTGCACCAGTCGCCAGTCGAAGCTCTGGCCCGGGGACCCCTGGCCCCAATCACCCGTTGTATGTCTACAGTACACATATGGGTATTCTTGTCATGTTTTTGCTTTCTCACCGGTATGTTTGGGACGCCGTCGGTTCCACGGAGTAACTTGAGCCTCGCGCGCACTTGCTTGTAGTGCGCGCTGTCCTGAAATATCCGTTGGCTCCTTGTTGTCGATGTCGTTACTAGCGCAGGAAATGTAAGTTCTTGGGTAATGAACTGCGCCATCTGGCATATGTCGGGTGTCTGTGTGTCTCTGCTGTTCGTCGAGCTTGTCGTGGAAGCACTGCAGATCCTCGTTGATAGTCTCGATTCACCTTCCCTTCGTGTCCGCGCTGGCGCCCGATAGCTTTAGAAGGGCGGTGAGAGCACGCTGTAGGAGTCATGGGAGGTATCGCGATCGGAATACTGCGAATGTCATGTCGAGCATGGCCCCCTTGGTCATGCCGAAGATCTCCTCGTTCGCGATATCCTGGTTGGCGTGGCTCTTGGTCGTGTAACCGGCAAAGAGGCGGCATCCCTTCATGCATTCTGCGGTGAGGGCATCCTTTTCTTTATCGCCGAGATCGCTCCACGCGTGGGCGTTGAAAAGCATGGTGGAATTGGCGAGGGCCTCGGTGTACAGCGCCTTCTTGTTGATCGGCAGTTTCTATCTGAGGTATACCTCTCTCCTTAGTGGTCGTCTTGATGCGACCACCTTGGCAGCCCGTTTTCTTAGCTCTGGTCCTCTAGAGCTGGTGGAGGTGATCACTCTGCCCAGTGTTTGCTGCTAGTTGACGATCTCGACGGGGTCGGAGAGTAGGTCGTTGCTCGTGCCAGGTATGCCCCTCTTTGCCATGTCCTCTTTGGCTTTGGTGGATCCTCATCCAAGCTTGCCATGATATCTGACATCTTGGTGTTTAGCTTCATGCCAGCAATCATCGTTCGTGTCGCGATGGTGTGGAATAGTTTTTTTGGCATTGCCGTGTGCGTGATCGGGGTCGGTGACTGCGTGCGCCGTGAGGTCGTCCACGAATGAGGCGTCTGTGAGGAGCCTCCCTCCGTCCTGCTCGTCGGTGGTTGTTCTGTTAGGCCAATACAGGTTGTCTCTCTGGGTTCTGGTATTTCGTAGGTGAGGCCGTCCTAGATCATGTCCTGTGCGTTCGCCTTGGTGACCTAGGCGAAAGTGTACGCAATTTAAGGTTAGGTCTGACGCCGGACTCCAGCCTTGTTCCAGTCTTGAATTGTGCTATAATCAGTGATCCTCTGGTGATAGCCCACATGTCGGCACGGGCGTCTCTCATGAATCCACAGAGGTGCTCGTCGTCATCAATGTAATCGAATATTGGGGCTCACCGAATGGCTTTCTCCAGCGTTGGTAGTAGAACAGGCGGGATGCCGATTGTCCATGACGTCGATGAGCTCGTCCGTGTCGGTGTTGGCTGTACATGCCATCTGTAGACCACTCTGTAGAAGGCGTCCTTGAGGCTGAGGAACAGCATCACCGCTGTGCGTCCATCCTTCTTCATTTGGCTGAGGCAGGTGATCGCGGTGTGGGTCACGAAGTCAATGTTGTGGTGTAGCCTTGGGCGCTCCTCATCAGGTCAGCGGTTATTACCTTAAGCCTTCCTCGCAAGAGTCTGTGGTGCTGCTTCGCGATGGCGCTGCTGAGATACATCATCCTTCGTGATGCTATATCCGGCTTGGTGCTGCCAGGTTTGGCGAAGGATGCCTGCCAGCCCCCTTGTGGGGTAATCGCTCCACTGTGGCGACTCGTGCCTTCGTAATGGGCGGGTAGAACAGCCTTGTCATTTCTTCGGGTTCTGCCGCTGCTAGGTCATCCAGGATGCCATCGGGTCCCCCATGTCTGCCTAATTGTGCCACTGTCATGATTGATGTCCATTCGTCCCTGGTCGCGATGTTGTCGATGGAGAATCCAGCATGGTCCTGATGATGCTCGCGTCCTTCGCGTGTTCGTTTCGTTTGTCGCGTAGTTCCTGTGGGTTTGTGACGAAGGTGTGTTCTGCCATGGCGAAGAGATCAAGCTCGGCCTCCGCCTGATGGTCTGTGTTCTCGATGGGGTTGCCCTTCAATTCGATTACGTACTGACGTTCGGGTAGTATTATGGGCGCTCTTCCCCAAAAGGTTAGCATCACACCCCGCAATACAACGCTGGACCCTGGTCGCAGCAGGCTTGAATGATAACAATAAATCGCGAAACACTCAACCTCCCCTCAGCCGTGACGAATGAAAATGCCTGACTAACACTAACTCACCCCCCTGGAACGATGCATAACGATTACGATTCCAACGGCGCCACACGAGGGGGTTTCTCGAACAATAACAACCCAACTTCAAACACAACACCCCACTTCGGCGATGAATAAAGCTTTTGACCCATTGCAGAAATCTTATGAGCAAATCACTCTGGCTTGGCAAGACACAATTCGTTGGACAGGGGCCCAAACCACCCCCAGAGGCCATAATATTCCCGAAAGGCCCTCACATGCCCCAAGAGGGCCCCAAAGGGCCCCCGACATGGCCCCATAAGGCCCCAAGAAGTCTAGCATCAGGCCCCCATCAGCACGCATACAGGCCCCGAAAGCCCCCAAGAGCGTCTTGGAAACCATTGAAGCCATATGGCGCCTTCTTGGGGGAATATCGCGGCCCCTTGGGGCCATCATGGGGCCTCCAAGGGCGCACTTTGACGATTTTGGTATCCTTTTCTGGCCGTCTTGGGCCCCCCCGGCCCCCGCTTCCACTATTCATGGGGCCTGCCGAAACTGTAGGTTTTTCGAGTGTCCCCTGAATAGTGGAAGCCCCAACAAAAACAAATTTTCTGGACGTCCCTCTGGGCGGGCCGGGGGTGGCTTTTTCGTGCGCAGGCCAATAAAAACAAGCCGCGGCGACGCGCCAAAAAATGTTCAAAACAGGGGGCGAAAGCGGCGGGCCCCTCGAAATCTTAGAAAATTGTAATTTCCGTAACTTTTTCTGGAATATTTTTTGGGGCCTCCTGGGGGCCTCTTGGGCGCTCTTGGGGGCCTCTTGGGAGCTTCTTGACCCGCTCTTGGGAGCCTCTTGGGGGCCTCTTCGGGGCCCTTGAGGGCCTCTTGGGGGCCTCTTGGGGGCTACCACAAGCTCCCAGAGGGGTCAAAAAAAAACAAAAAATCTTGGGGCTCTCTTGGGGGCCTCTTGGGGCGCATTTGGGGGCGTCTTGGGGCGCTCTTGGGGGCCTCTTGGGGGCCTTTGGGGGCCTCTGGGGGCCGCTTGGAACCGTACGAGCAGCAGCAGCATGGAGCAGCAGCAGCAGCATGCAGCAGCAGCAGCAGCAGCAGCAGCAGCAGCAGCAGCAGCAGCAGCAGCAGCATGCAGCAGCAGCAGCAGCAGCAGCAGCAGCAGCAGCAGCAGCAGCAACAGCAGCAGCAGCAGCAGCAGAAGCCGACAACTGACAAATCGCGCGCAGGCAGACCCCCCACTTGGGAGAAATGACGAGGGGTCCGATCGAAATTGACCCCCCTGGAACGATGAATAACGGCGGAAACGCTCCACCACTACCACCCCCCCGTTGACGACTGAACCGGCTCGAATGCACTTACCGGGTCAACCCTTCATAACCAGGGGTGATAGGTTAGCAATATCCTCATTGTCTTCCATTCCTTGATGGGGTCGTTTTCCGCGATGCCGTCGACGATGTGCTGCGCGTTGTTGTCGAGGAAGCCGGAGCGATCGGCGTCTCTGGCGTCTGTGAGCTGCGGCGGTGAGTCTCGAAGAAAAGCTATAACTGCCAGTGCCATCTCGTAGTGGTCGATCTCGTAGTGCACCAGCTTGGTCGCGTTAGCGATGCGGTTGACGAGGGCATCGGTCCGTCGAAGTGCTCCCTTTGCAGTGATCGTAGGCACGCTGGTCCCATGCAGCTGATGAACTGGCTTGGTGGCTGGGATTTTGGCCGAGGGGGTGTCGCCCTCGTACCTACGTGTGCGCATGGGCTTTTGGATGCCCTTCTCACTCGCAGTAGTGGGTTTGGTGCATCCTCCTCTTTCCCCTCCTCCCCCTGCAAGGTGGTCGAGCTGGGTTCCAATATCTCCGACCTGAGTGGCGGGTGGCATGGGGCGGCGATGGTCCGCCGCTATCTGAGGCCAAATTGTCTTGCCTAGGGTTGTTAAGGCCTGGTCGCCCAGGCAAGCAACGCCGTCGCGAATCACTCGCCAGTGTGGTCGCGGGGAGTCTCCTCCTCCTCCTCCTCCTTCTCCTCCTCTTCCTCCTCCTCCTCCTCCTCCTCCTCCTCCTCCTCTTCCTCCTCCTCCTCCTCCTCCTCCTCCTCCTCCTTCTCCCACTCCTCCTCCTCCTCCTCCTCCTCCTCCTCCTCCTCCTCCTCCTCCTCCTCCTCCTCCTCCCGCTTCCCCTCCCCCCCCCTTCTCCTCCTCCTCCTCCTCCTCTTCCTCCTCCTCCTCCTCCTCCTCCTCCTCCTCCACCTCCTCCCCCTCCTCCTCCTCCTCCTCCTCTCCTCCTCCTCCTCCTCCTCCTCCTCCCCCTCCTCCTCCTCCTCCTCCTCCTCCTCCTCCTCCTCCTCCTCCTCCTCCTCCTCCTCCTCCTCCTCCTCCCCCTCCTCCTCCCCCACGCCTTGCCCCCTCCTTCGCCCCCGTCCAATCCCCCGCGGGGGGGCACCGCGGGGCTCGACGAGCCGCTGCTGCCGCCGGCGCCGCCCAGGAAGGGCAAGCTGGCTTGGCTGGCCGAGCGCCCTGACTGCGAGCGTTCCTCGGGCTGGGCGGCGGCGGATGGCGGCGGAGCGACCCGCAGTAGCGGGAGGGGGCCCGAGAGGGGAGGGGAGGAGAAAGGAGGATGAGGAGGTGGAGGAGGAGAAGGAGGAGGAGGAGGAGGAGGAGGAGGAGGAAGAAGAGACGGAGGTCGGGGACCGAGTCGTTCCTCCAAGGAACGAGTCGTTCCACCAGGGAACGAGTCGTTCCACTGGAGATCGCGGGGGAAGGGGGGGCGGAAGGAGGAGGAGGAGGAGGAGGAGGAGGAGGAGAAAGGAGGAGGAGGAGGAGGAGGAGGGGGAGGAGCAGGAGGAGGAGGAGGAGGGGGAGGAGGAGAAGGAGATGGAGGTGGAGTATGAGTATGAGTATGCGGATGAGTATGATGATGATGATGATGATGATGATGATGATGATGAGGAGGAGGAGGAGGAGGAGGAGGAGGAAGAGGAGGAGGAAGAGGAGGGTGAGGAGCCGAGCGTAGCAGAAGAGAGAGGTGCCCACCGGACTAAGCAGGCGAAAGCGGGGAGCATATACGAACAGAGCGCAGTGCCGCCAAGACTGCCGAGCGGATACCACTTGGAGAGATGGGACTAGGCAACAAGCGGAGCGTGTGATAGGCATGAAATACGATGGATGGCGACCTCTTCGACGACGGTGACCGTCGGAGCCAGAACAACCCATCGCGTGAGAGGACAAAGAGGGGTGAGGTCACGACCGAGGATAGACGAGAGAGCCTAGCACAGCTGCGGGCAAGTGGCAGAATATCACTGGCGATCGGCATTGATCATACAGCCAGAGATCTGCCGCTGGCACACTTTTTCCAACCAGGCAGACACGCTCAAGGCGCGAACATCATCAGAGACGACCCTGGGCCACCCACTCTGCACTTGAGCATCCTAGCGTGCAATGCCGGTACGCGACCAAAATGCACGCACTGCGACCTGAGGTCAGGATCCGGTACCACTTGCACAAAGATCCTGAGAGAGTGCGGAGGACGGGCCAGGCCCAAGAAGGAGGGACACAACTGAGAAGAAGATAGAAGGCACCCCACGGTGCGTTCTCGTTCTCGATCTCGGCCTCTCTTTCTCTCTCTCTCTATATATAAATATATCGGAGGAGGAGGAGAAGCAGGATGAGGAGAAGGAGAAGGATGAGGAGGAGGAGCGACCGTACCGAATGAGTCCGGACCTACGTCGCGACAGCGCGCTCAGCAACCAATGGCGGCCTTCGCTGCTGCCAGAATCGTGTAATGAAATGTGGGAGTGGTGGGAGCGCTCCCTCGTGCATCATACTCTGCCTTCAGCTTGTGATATATGTGAAACGCCAGAACGTTTACCTGATGCAAGCGAGCACGTGGATACTCTCGCTCAGGATCGGGCTCCATCCCCAATCCGAGGCGAGTAATGGGGGAAGCGGGCAAGTGACCACGAGGAAAAGCGAGGAGGTGAAGCAGGCGAGGGCAGGAAAGGTAGTGGCTGAAATCGTCACTGGCTGGGGGCTCGCATCCGAAAAGACAAGGCCGGCGGTCCATGGAGGGGGTCCGTGCAGATGTAGTCCAAGCTCCAGCCAAGGTCTTTAAATGGGCCCATGCCCAGGAGGGCGGGGATCTCGCAAGAATCCTCCGGAGCGCGATCCATCGCAGGCTGATCTCATGATCTGGGAGTTGGGGGAAGTGGGGGAGCCAGGAGTAGAGGCGACGACGGAGAAGGGAGGGCATGAGGTCAGGGAATAAAGATAGCCGAAGCGATCGAGCGAACACTCGCTGTGGGCGGGGGCGGCGTCCGTCCACCCCGGCAGTGCGGAGTTCCACGTTGGCCGCGGCCGCACTCTCTTGCCATGCGTGCTGGGGATGCCCATGGGGGGAGTGGAGGACAAAGACGCAAGGTATTCAACTATGCTGACGCGGTTCCTCCACCACTCGGGGGAGAGAGCACCTCGGAGGAAATCCACGAGAGGACCATGCAACCAGGCATGCTCGTGCAGTTGCGCCAGTGCTGCCCTCCACCCGTCCGCAGGCCCCACCTCTAAAGTGTGGTGGGCCGTCCGCCATGCCGCTGCCGCCGCTGTCGTGCGGAACGGGGATGGGGTGGCTGAGGGGAGCCAGCTTCCAATGCTCAACAATTCAGCTAACGCGAAGGAGTTTTGGGGGAGACGCAGGAGGCGGTGGAGGACGTGACGTTCAGCAGAGAGCACAGCAACTGGGAGGGGGAAAAGTTGGGAAAGATAGTGGCACACTGGCAAGACCCCCCTGTTATAGATTCTGCAACTTGCTTCTGCTGGGGCCCTGGTGAAGGACGTGTCCTTGGTCCTGGTTTTCCACTTTCGCGTCGCACTCGTCCACTGATCCTCCAGACCAGCCTCGGGGCCGACCAGAATCCCCAGATATGGGGTGCAGCCGGCAACCTTGAACGCGCCCCACGCCGGGACCAAGTCTTGGAGAAGCTGGCGCATCTGAAGGGCAACAGCTTCTGTGAAGCGCTGCCCCAAAGGAACTAATACGCACTTGGCTGGCTGCAGCTCCAGAGTGGCGACCTTTTCCGCCGCCTCGAATGGCGGGACCAGGAGGGGGAGATCACGAATGGAGGGGAGGGAGGTGCCCACATCGTCCGCGCAGGCGCCGTTCATCGGCGGCACGCTTGGGAGGTGCTGGATCTGCGCCGTCTGCGCTTCCAGGTGCCTCAGAAATGGGTCCATGGCGAAAGCCCAGAGGGTGCCCGAGAGGGGACACCCCTGGGCAACACCAGAAGTTAAAAATAACATGGGGGAGCGGAGGGAGCCAGCCTTGAGGTAAGCGAGAGAGGAGGCGTAGACGGCATCCACAAAGGCCAAGTAGCCCTCAAGGATCTTGTGCTTGAGGAGCACGCGGCGGAGAAACTGCCGGGACAGCGAGGGGAACGCTGCCTTGAAATCAAAAGACACAAAAACAGGTATCATCTCACTGTGGTGGCTCGCAGCCCTGCCGTACGCATCGTGCGACACAATGTGGTGCAAGAAACTCCTCCCCCGAATGAATCCCTGCTGAACGGGGTGCGCTCGCTCACCGATGACCTTGGCTAACTCGTGGTTCGCGGCGGTCGTCATGGCCTTGACGTCGGTGTTCTTCGTGGTCAGGGGTCGCACCTGCCCAGCCCCTCTGACGACGTCAACCGCGTCGGCGGGCTCATCGCCCTTTGGCACAAATGCCAGGTTCGAGAAGTTGAGGCCCCACGGCGGCACGCGCCCAGCAAAGAGGCCCACCATCACAGAGTAGAGGACCTGCAAGAGCCGCTCGTCCAGCAGCCACGCCGAAGCAGGTAGGCGGTCAGGTCCGGGCGCCGAGGGTTTAGCCCGTCGGAGTGCCCCAGCCAGCGCCTGCATCGACGGCGTGGGCAACTGCGGAGCCTCGTACTCGGGGATGTGCTCGTCCAGGTACTGGTTGATCATGGCCTCATCAACCATTTTGCCGCGGAAGACGGGGCCCCAGTGGCGGAGTAGCTCGGCGCGCATGGGGGCGTCGCCGCGCAATGTCTCCGACTGGTGGCCAGGGCTGTCGACGCGAATGCCGCTTAGCTGGAGGCGTCGACGGAACGGCGCCCACAGCTGCGCCCGGCGGCAAGCAGCGCGATGTAGCTTCCGCAGCTGCGTTGCCGAGGGGCCGGCGCCTCCAGGACGGAGCCGGGCCGCGTCCTCAGCGCGCTGTGCCGCAAGGCTCTGCATGCGTTCGTGCCATTGTGCGTGGAGGTGGATCGACTGGTTGAGGAAGGCCTCGGGGTCGCGCAAAGTCACGCCGGACTCGCCGAGGAGCAAGTGGGAAGCCCCAAACTCCGTGGAGTCAATGAGGGTATGAGCCAAGGCCGCGTCCTGCCGCCAGATGGCCCTTGCAATGGCCCTGGCAGTGATTCGCCTGCCATCGCCAGCCTCCTCGGAGCCGTCCCCGATCGGTAGCCGCTGGAGCTCCTTCCGGGCGAGGCGGGCCGCCTCGTGCAGCAGAGTCTTGACGAAGGCCCAGCGCTCCGACGTGCCCATGGCGTCCAAGTCGGTGCAATCGAGGAACGCCTTCACGTGCCGCGCGAAACGGGGCGACCTGAAGATGCTTTCTGGGATTGCCTGCGCGTCGCGAGGCGACTCCGCCTTCGGCCGGATGGTCAGCTGCACGATGGCGTGGTCGCTGAGGCCCCAGTCCGAGAGGGAGGCCGCCTCCTGCCAGATCTCCATCGCGATGTGCGTCTCCACAGCCCAGGGCGACCGCAGCGAGACAAACGCGCGGTCAATGAAGGAGCTGCTGTAGGACGCCTTGGAGAAGTACGTCGGGAGCTCACAGCACACCTCCAGCATGGGGCCCTGGAAGAGGCGCCTCCAGAAGGATTGGCCTGCCTGGGCGCGGTGCCACACCGAGCCGACCTCCGGAGGAGCTTGCGGGGGCAATCCATCTTCAGAGTGTTCCGGCGGGGCTCCCCCGGAACCTTCTGAGCCCGAATGCGCGTCGGCATCAAAACTGCCCGGCGCTGCGCCATCTGGGCGGCCGGGAGGATCGCGCGAGCGCCGAACTCGAGCCCGTGCAGGTTGTGGACGAAGGTGTTGAACAGGTTCATGGTCGCTGACGTTGAAGTCGCCGATGGCGACAAACAGGCGATGACGCTCAGCCTGTTATGCCCAGCGGGCCGAGGAGTCCCACGCAGTACGGATATGCGCCCGTTCTGAGAGAGACAAATCAAAATTGTGGATATTCATCAGCTTCAAATGCTGGTTCCTGGCGGGATTGGAAATCAGCAGCGTGGCAACCCGCCCGGCCGCCAACGGCACGAAGTCGAAGGTCGGGATGAGGGAGGGGTCGATCGCGGCCAAAGTGAGGAGGAGGAGGAGAGATACGAACGCCCAGGAGAGAGACACTATGATTACCTTGAAGTGTTCTTGCCAGGTCGATGCCTGGCCGTCCCACACTGGAAACGCGCCAATCTTCTTGTCGCAATGCTTTCCAATCTCGGAAACAAGCGGAACGAGGCCGCTCCAGGGTTACAGCTA